GGAATTAATTAAGGCTAAGAGGTAACCCATGTCTCAACAAAACCTATTTTCATAGCTATGATTTCCCCCGTAGGATTTCCCCATATTATTGTGTATTGATGATTTGTGATGTTATTATTGATGACTGATGGGATAATTCCATGGGTGATCTTGATATCGGGAGATTCTTGATAATTATGGTGTTCTTAACGATTACGTGGAGTTCTTGATAATTATATGTTGTTCTTGATAATTGTATGGCGTTCTTGATACTTATGTGTTATTTGTACCGATCTTGTAATTAGAAGACGAATCGTATTCTTGTTGGCATAAAAGTGATTAGAACTCTAGGTTGTATCGTATGGAATTATTCTTGGTATATTGGGTGGGAATTCGCATGATTGGGTGTCTATTATGTTTAGAAAAGCATGTTAGGTTATGTGCCGATTGTTTCCTGATTTTGATCCGTTAATTGTCTACGTGTGTTATCAATTGCGTTTGAAAGTGTCCAAGCATGGTTTCGGGTTCCACAAAGGTTCCCGGGGCGTTTCTTGATGAAAAGAGTCAGTGGGGGGTAGGGGACCCGCCACCTACCCGCGGCCTCCTTGGGTAACGCCGGCAGCGGGCAGCTGGCGAGCGGGCAGCTGCCCGCCGGGCACCCGCTGCCCGGTTTTGTTAGGCAGCCGGCGGGTGATCCCTCACCCACCGGTTACCCGCTGGTTTGCACCCCAATTGGGGATCTTGGCTTCCCCGTTTGATGTTCCCCCGTTCCCCGTGGTGTCCCAACGGACTCCGTTTATCGTGCCTATGTCTAGTTTGATATTTCGGGTACCGTTCGTAGGTTTACGAGTCTACTATATTGCATGCTAGTTGAATTGGTATCCCGTTGACCTAGGTGGAAGGAGTATGAACCCCTTAGGACTATTCTTAGTATGTGAAGGATCACGCATAGGTTTTGTTATACGCTTTCTCCCCCTTCCCAATATGTAATATGGGTTGCATGTGCTTGCTATGTGATATGTGTGTGTGTTACCCCAATTCGGTTGCGATCGGATTAGTTATCCTGAGCTGCGGTTCAGAAGCTGGCTGCGGTCAGATTGATACTCTTGGGCTGCGGTCCACCGTTTGGTTGCGATCAAACGTTTCTATACGAGCTGCGGTTCGTCCTCTTTCCTGGCTGCGGTCAGATGACATTCTTCTGGGCTGCGGTCCACTGTTTGGTTGCGATCAAACACTATGATGAGCTGCGGTTCATCGGTCGGTTGCGATCGACCCCTCCGTATTGCGATACGGGGCCGTGTCAGAGCTATATGCGCTGACCCTCATGTATGGGCATGCGATTGGTCCTGTGGCGCCAACAAAGTGTGCTATGTGTTGTGATATGGATGAGTGGTGATCATGAGTGTCTTGGGGGATGTGACTATGGGATTTATGTTGGGAATTGTTTATGTTGGGTTGTGACTATTGTTTATGCTTTGCCTTATCTGCCTTATCTGTTGTGAACTGCATATGTTGTTATAACTGTTGCTCCTGTCTGGCCTTATCTGTCGAGTCATTCCCGGTTTTAAAAGCTAGAGTTCGTAGGATATATCTTCATGCTCAAAATGGTTTTCGTATATCTATATATATATCTCTATATGTATTGTATTTCAACGCGTTGGAGTGGGTTACCAGCATCTCTCGCTGAACAGATATATTTGGCTTTCAGGCACAGAAGAATAAGTCACTGGAGCGCGCTAGAACTTGGAACGTAGAAGTAGATAGTTTCCCTTTTCGGCCTGCGTGCCATGCTTATGCCTTTACATTATTGAGGATATTAGTTAGTTAGCCTGTGCACCTGAGTTCTCTAGCTCAGGTGTGGCATAGCACCCCATACTCTTGTATTATGTTTTGGGATTTAATGGGATTTCACCTTTATTTTATAAGTTTTAAATGTCTTGAAAATCTGGGGTGTTACAGTGACAATCACCCATTTACCTTCGGATGCGTTATCATTCCGCTGCGGTTCTGAACTTTGACCGACAGCGTGCTTAACAATGAAGGGGAGTGGACGTTTCCGTTGTTTCCCATCTTCCTTTTCAGTACACAGCGGAGCGAACCGTCCAGGTGTAATCGAGATTTGATTTGAGCTTGCTTTGGCATCGGCAAGCTCGATTTTTCCATCTCTGGCCAGTGCCATGACTTTATCTTTGAAGATAAAACACTTCTCAATCGGATGACCAAGAAGACGGTGGTACTTGAAGTAATATGGGTCATCCACCCTTGTAGCTTCATCGGGACGTTTCATTTCAGGCAACTCAATGAGCCTAAGTTTGAGTAGCTCATCAAACATGGGAGATACATCGGAATCCATGAAAGGATAAGTCTTCTCCTGCCTTTCTTCAATTGTCGGCCTTCTCCCACCCCTTAACGGGCCAGAAAATGATCTTGACCTAGGCCTTTCAGTTGCCTTAGTGAAGACTGTCATAGGAGTAGCCTTCACATTCATCACTTCTTTCTTTTCCTGCTTTGGAAAAGGTTTGTTCCACTTTTTAACTTCTTGTTTTCTAGGTGCATTGGAGGAGCTAGGCAAGTTCAATATGTTGTGCCCTCCGCTGGCTTCGATGCTCAATTCCATGTCGTGAGCATGACTGGATAACTCTTCGAAGGACTTTGGCTTAATCCCTTGTAGGATATAGGAGAGTTCAAAGTGCATTCCTTGGATGCACATCTCAATTGCAGAACTTTGGGATATTCTTTCTTTGCAATTCAGGCATAGTTCCCTCCACCTTTCGATATAGGTACCGGCGCGTTCACCCTTCCATTGGCGAGTAGTGGTGAGTTCCAAGAAGCTGACCGTTCTCCTTGTACTATAGAAACGAGTTAAGAACTCACGTTCCATATCATGCCAGCTATCAATGCAGCCGGGCGCAAGGTCAGTGTACCAATCAAACGCAGTTCCCTTTAATGAACGGACAAACTGCTTTACCAACAGATCGCCATAAGTCCCTGCATCATTGCATGTCTCCACAAAGTGGGCAATGTGCTGTCGGGGATTTCCTTTGCCATCGAATTGCTGGAACTTAGGAGGTTGATAGCCGTAGGGCATTTTCAACTCCTCAATTCTTTGTGTGTAGGGCTTAGCATAGGAATATGAAGGTTGGCCTCCATCCAACTTGCCTTTGATGGCCCCCATTATGTAGTCCTTCAACTGATCCACCGGTATCATGCCTTCGGTAATTGGAATAGTTTTCTCAGTTGCAGGTAAGTGGGAAGTAGCTTCTCCTACCACATGGCTAACATGAGGTGGTGGTGATTGCTGACCAACCTCTTCTTGCCCTTCAGGTTGCTTTCCTGGAGCACGGCTTCCTTGCTCCTCCATGATGCTTCCTACCCTATTATCGAGGGTGTTAAGCCGTTTCTCTTAATTTTGGAGAGCGACAGCCATTCCTTCCAGAGACTTAGCAATTCTAGCTAATTGCTCCTCCACATACTCTGTGTTTGTCGCCATGGCCGGCATGACGTTGTAAACATGCGACCACTCAGGTGCAGCCTTCCATAATGGATGAGGCGGAGTTACGGGGGAAGTGCTCCCGCTACTAGCGTTCCCTTGCATAGAAGTTGGACTACCACCATCGGTAGCTCTCTTGGGAGAGGGTGGACTTCCAGCAAAAGCAATTGCCTTTGAGGCAGCAGGGGCCTTGTCGAGCCTTCGAACCACCCGTCGTGCCATGGACTGAGGGTCAGGCACTTGGACCCCCAAATCCTTTGCGCGGTTCCTTGTCAGTGGACCTTGCGTTTTCTGGGTAGTGCCAGAGCTAGCTACGGGCGTAGACTTGGACTTGGTAGCTTGGGCATAGGTCCCCTTGAACATGGGATTGTTCGATGCCATTTGATGCGCAGGTAGAGATATAGTAGAAGAGAGATGAGAGGCAGAGCTGTCCCACTGGGCGTGCCAAAATATGTAAACGCGAAAAACTTGAATTGTATATATTCAAAATTCAAAGTATCGGTTACAAGTAGTATGTATCAATCAAGAAGGGGTACAATCTCTGTATATGAGAAGTCCTCTGATTCTCTACTAGAAGTATGCCTATTAGGTGTGTGCCAAATTCGGAGTACGCCGAATTGGAAGTGTGCCGAGTTCAGAGTATGCTGAACTTGAAGTAGTTCCTTGTTCCTTGTTGGAGGTATGCCGAGTTCAGAGTATGCTGAACTTGAAGTATGCCGAGTTCAAAGTATGTTGAACTGGAAGTATGCTGAGTTCGGGAGTATGCCGAACTGGAAGTATGCCGAGTTCGGGAGTATGCCGAACTTGAAGTATGCCGAGTTCGGGAGTATGCCGAACTGGAAGTAGTTCCTTGCTGAAGGGCCTCCGGAGTTATGTAGCTTGTTCTTCAATGAAGGGCTAATATGCAGCTTGATCTTCAAAGAAGGGCTCCCGGTGTTCAAATGGCGTATTCCTCAGTGCAATATACGCAGTATATATATAACTACGGGCGTGTTCCAGACGATATCCTGGCGAGATTTTGACAGAGCTTCGATATGCAGATTTCCAGAGCTCCAATTCTTGAAAATGAAACCACTATTTATAGTGGTGAGGGTGAGGGAAAATCTCCAACCAACTCTTAATTCCTTATTTAATTTAATTTCTTTAATTAAATTAAGGAATGTATCGGGACACCATTGCGTCCAGGTTCATCATTTCATTAAATTTTCAAATAATATCAAATATTCAAATTCCTCAAAATTATATAATCCACATATAATTTTAGTGGGCCAAGACCAAGTCAAGCCCGCTAACTATGCAGTCCAATTGATTCAATAGCCTGGTCCAACTCGATTAAATATTTCATCATCTCGGGCCGAACAATCCAACATCCAATTACATTTAATTAAGTAATTAAACCAATTAAATATTTAATGGGCCATTTAATTAACCCGATTAAATAAACATTAGTCCAATTAGCTTAATTAAAGTAATTAATTTAGCAACCAATTATCCACCACGGTCCAATAATATTATTTAAATTTTTCAATGCTTACAAGCCCATACCCGTATCCTTTAGCCAGCTTAAAGCTTCCCTCAAATTGATAGCTTCAGCTTCATTAACTATATAAACTCCATCCATACGTACATTCTTTGCCGCCAAGAAGGTTCCTTCATGATCCCGTAGCACCAACCCTAAGCCCATAACATTGTTAGCGTGATTCAGCGATGCGTCCGTATTGAGCTTTAGGCGCCCAATTGTTGGCAGGACCCAAAACTCATCCCTTGTTGGCGAATGCCCTGCAGTTTCCTTAGCATTAACATGTGGCCAGTTTTGCCAAAAGGTAATTGAACGTAGCAGCATAGTATTAGCATAAAAAAGAATTCCATTCCAAACACTCTCATTACGACTTTGCCATACACCCCAGCATGCCATGATAAATTTGCCAAGCGTATCAGTAGATAAGAGTGAAACAGTATGAAAAAGCCAATCAATAACTTTACTATGAACTGCATTAATCACAAGTATCCCAAGAATATTCCATATTTTTGCAGCTTCAGTACACTGAACAAACATATGGTAAGCACTCTCCCGTTCCCTCCTGCACATGTGACAAACCAAAGAGCAATGAACATTTTTTTTTATTGTAGAGCATCCCTAGTGGGGAGAAAAGACGATGCCAACTGCCAAACGAAAAGCTTAACCTTCGGCGGAATGAACGCATTCCACAATCGGGACCATGGTCGAGCATCATGCACCTCACCCTTCAAGCGATTATATTATGACTTAACCCTATATTTGCCTTTTTGGTCCCAAAATTAGTACCACGAATCCTGTGGTTTTCTGATGGAGATAGGTATGTTCAAAATTAATTTAACATCACGGGCATCAAATATTGTATTAATGCGGTCAACATCCCATCCCGTACCTTGGGTATTGAAAAGTGTAGCTACTGGTGATAGGTAAATTGCTTCGCATACTCGAGTTATGATATACGGCTCATCTTGTGTTGGAAGCCACACATGTTTCCCTATAACCGTGTCCAGGCCATTCCCGATACTACGCCTGCAGCCATCCCTTAAGATATTTTGGACCTCTAGTAACCCCCTCCGAATAAAGGATGGGTTACTACCTGCAGTTGCTTCAAAATAGGTAGAGTTAGGATAATACTGTGCCTTGTAAATCCTTGCCACCAATGATGAGGGTTTGGTAATCAATCGCCACGCTTGTTTGCCAAGCAAAGCCATATTCATCTCTCGCAGCGAGCAGTAGCCCAACCCCCCGGCGTCTTTTGGTGCAAACAAGCCCGCCCATGTCCTCCACCTTATCCCCTTGCCATTATTCACTGAACCTGTCCACCGGTGCTCGTTCATCAGGGTCTCAATTTCCTTACAAATGCCTGAGGGTAACAGAAAAACCATCATCGCATAGGACGACATTGCCTGGATTACATTTTTCAACAGTACCTCACGGCCAGCTTTAGACAAAAACTTAGCGTTCCAACTCCTTACCTTTCCTAGAATTCTCTCTTTCAGAAACCCCAAGATGTGCTTCTTTCCCATTTTAAGTAGTTATTTTGAGATATTAATCTGAGTGGAGTCCACTCTCAATTTGGGTTAAGCCAAAATGGATTCAGATTCTTTTAGTTGAGTGAATTTGATGTATTATACGCTTAAAAGAAATAATAGGTATATGAGAAATTGATTGTTATCATGTACCTTTGAGTAGGAAAATGGAGTTTGAAAAAGTTTTTAAGTAATATTTGTCCATCATTGGAAAAACATGTGAATTTGTACTAATATAAATACAATTAAACTTTATAAAGAGTTTGAATTGTATAGCTTATATGCTCTCTTTTGTGTGCGTCGAGGGGGAGGTGTGTGCAAATCTAATCCCAAATTGATATAAGAAAATGTAAACTTGTACGCACCTTCTTGGATTGGTCGTTGAGGCTTGCTTACTGTTGCAATGTAATGAAAAATGAAAATCCCCTTACTCTTGCAATGTAATGAAAATCCCCTTACTCTTACAATGTAATGAAAATTCTATTTTATACTCCGTATGTGAATTAACGTTGTAGCATCATATTTATTCTAATTTCCATCACAGTAATATTTGCTCGGCTGGCCATCTTATTTAATATGAGAATTAACGTTGTAGCATCATATTTGCTTACTACATTGAAGAGAATGTCTTTTGCAATGTTGTCAAGATTGTTCCTCTTCTTATCCTCTGTGGTCCCTTCCTGCCTTGCTATGGAATGTATCTGGGGTATCAGTAGTTTGGTTGACAATTGTGTTGACCATCAAAATCTCCACTGGACCGCATGTGATGGCCTCCCACATTTTGTCGTGAAAGAGCTAAGAGATGAGCATGCATGCTTGTTTACCAATTATCAAATCGGTCAATACAAAATATGAGGTGTTTAGAAAGAAAACCGTCCATTTTAATAAAAGTAATGTGCCAAAGAAGAATGTTATAAGATTTTCAAATAGAGATCCACTTAAAATCCAAGTGAGCTTGGATTTCAAAAAGTAGAGTTTTAAAACGCAACAAAGATTTAATATTAACCCCTTTTTATGTTAGGGCATGTTTTGGATTGTTAACAAAAGTTATGATTTGAGTGCGCGCAAAGTAGGTTGTAAATGCATACATTAAAAGATAAAGAGAGAGATTTCCATTTACCTACTAGAATTCCTTAGGAACCTTTGACTAATATATCATATGCTTTGAGGGTGCTACCAATGGGGGTCAAATCGGAGACCTCCAGCATAACAGGCGCACCGCAACCCACCAAGCCACACCATCACTTATGTATTGAAGCGCGACACCTAATATTTCTCATATATTTTCGGGCTGGCAGCTTTGGCCACAGACCATGACCAGCTGGGGGCCTGGCCCGCCGGCCACCTCAGGCTATGGTGTGGCCATCGAGTTTGGTGCAACCCCGAGCAAACCAACGGTTCTTTTTCCAGAGGGGGTGCGATGCGATGCGTATTGGTGTTCGGAATAGTGAGGTATGGTGTGGAGGGGTAAGGTACGAAATGGGAGGTTGGTAATCGACCCTTCAGGCTGGCGCATGGCTAGCAATGTGAGCCATTAGACTCCCCATGGCATGGCGTGACTAGCGGGGACCATGCACCCGCCGATGCACCATCGACACCCCCACTAGCTGGGGTTGGTAGTAAGGGGTGGTAGAGAAGGTGGGAGAGAAGGTGGAGACATGTGCAAAGACACGAGGCATGCATGGACACGTGGAGGATGGATATGGAAGACTAGTCGATGCCGTATACTTGTCAACAATTTGGAAGGCACTCAACGCTATATAAGACACCCTTCCCTCCCTTCAAGACATCATCATTTGAGCAATATAGACACCTTGGTTTAGTGGTCTCTAGTCTATGCTCTCCACCCAATCACCTTGGTTCGATTCTTGTCAGTAGTATAGTTAGTTATAGCCCATCTTCTAGGCCTTGTTCTTTGTATTTGAGCCGCCATTCTAGGCCTGTACTTCGGGCTTTATACGTACTATTTTTGGCCTAGCGCCCCAGGTAATAAAGCTATCCATTCTAAGCCTGTACTTCGGGTTTTGTACGTACTATTTGGGGCCTAGCGCCCCAGGTAATAAAGCTATTGTTTTCCTACCCCTGTTCTGAGTTCCTATACCCAGTTTATAGTGGACCTGGTCCTAATAAAACCATCATTGGCGCTGTCTGTGGGGATCGCTACGTTTAGCACATGTTTGTAGTCTCTATTTGTCTGAGCAAGATTCCGAGGTACGCCGAAATGGCTGGTTCGCAGGATGAGCAGTTACCAGTCCAGCGTAGTGAGGTTCGGCGAAAGAAGCTAACCGTCTAAAAATCTTAGAGGAGGAAGGAAACAAAAATCCGCGAATGGAGGAGCTATCTATCTAGAGCACAGAGGGAAGGAAGATCAGCTTGGAGGGTAGATCTCTACCCACCAACTGAAGTCCGCAGGCACCCACACCAGGGGAACCTCTGGCCCCTGTGACTAAGGCACGACACTTAGCACCCTCCACCCCACACACCACCCCCCGTGTGATATACTCACCTATGCTAAGGAGTGCCAGATGGTGAGGACATTCGGCCCACATGTGGACCCGTCGGATGCCGACATGACCAAGTGTTGCAAGTACCATCTCGATGACCCACTCGTGTCTGAAGTTCCATACGCCTAGAGGGGTGGTGGTGGTAAAAGGAAACCAACACCTAGCCCACAAGTGTTATGAAACGACCTGTGAGAAAATGCTGATGGACCAATTGCCCGTGCGCACTGTGGAAAGTGAGCATGAGAAGTAGGCGACATACGATAAGTAGGAGCTACCAACACGATGAGTTGGAGCTACCCTACGAGGTAACACACTTAACACATTGAGACGTTACCCTTGTGAGTACACTTTTAACACTTAGTTTAGTAAAGATTAAGTTTATTTTCCCAAACTATGTGCTCCTATTTGCTACGCATGCTTTGACACGTGGGTATGCGTTGCTTTGGAGGCAACCAACATGCGCGCACTGGACTTGTAGAGCAGGGAAGGCGGTCTAGGGCGCACCTAGGTTTTTAGGCATGTGGTTTTGCGTTGCTCTAGAGGCAACCCACATGTGCGTACTAAACTCGTAAGGCACGGTAGGCGGTCCATGCACACCTGGTTACTTAGGCATGTGGGTCTACGTTACTCTGAAGGCAGCCCACATGCGCGTACTGGACCTGCAAGGCAGGGTAGGCGGTCCATGTGCCCTTGGTTACTCAGGCATGTGGGTCTGCGTTACTTTGGAGGCAACCCACATGCTTATACTAGACCTGCAGAGAAGGGTAGGCGGTCCATACGCAATCGATAGTTTGGAGCGTGTGGGATTGCGTTGCTCTGGAGGCAACCCACAAGCACGTGGTGGACCTGCGGAGCAGGATATGCGGTCTAGACGCAGGCGATTGGGACGTGGAGTGTTCACATCGCGACTCCCATACCCCCTCTTAGCATCCTTCTCGAAAAAAAGAAAGCGCATGGCATATGTAGGTGGGCATACCCAAGTGGCGCAGATAGCAAGCGATAAGCAAGCAAGTTAAAAAAAAAGCGGTAAACTGGTGGGCGCACCTAAGTGGAGTGGGCAATGAGCAAAAGGCGAGCAAGTTAAAAAAAACAAACAAATATATATATATATATATATATATATATATATATATATATATATATATATATATATATATATATATATATATATATATATATATATATATATATATATATATATATATATATATATATATATATATATAAGGAACGGTGAAAAGCAGAAGTACCATAGCAATATATTATGGCAATGAAGAAGTCCAGTATAAGAAGCACCAAAAAAACACTAATCTAGAAGCTAGTCTAAGTACCGAAGCTAAGTGCTAATTTGAGTCCCGAAGCTAAGTGCTAATTTGAGTACCGAAGCTAGGTACTAATCTAATGACAAGAAAAAAACTAAGGGATGGGAGCTGCAGAGGCAGTTGCGAATCCAGAAAAACCATACCTTGAAGGCAAGGTGAAGTTGGATCCACGCTCGCAACAGCGCCTGAGTCTGCTACCTGATCTGATGGAAGTGCCATAGAGGATGTCGCTCTAGCTCAGGCTCTCTCAAGTGTCATGAGAAAATCGTTTGAAGGTTAAGTAGTGGAACCAAGCAGGGCAGAGGAGTAGAGGCGATGAAGAGGAAGATAGTCTGGCAACCACCATCTTGGGATAATGAAGGAGGTGAACCGACGACAGGTCTTGCATCTCGCGTTGCCCCTATGTAGAAGGCTGCCTCACACTCCCGCACAATCCGAGCATGCCCCTCATTTGTCTTGCGAAACCAAACTTCCCGCTATTGTAACACCCCGTGTTACGACCTCTAAAACCAATTAATCATTTAACCAATTATTCAAAGAAAGAATTAAATTACAACAATTAATTAGGAAAAAGCCCACCATAGTCCGTAGGCCCTCATCTCTAAACCCAACCCCTAGTCCAAAAAGGAATAGAGTTAGCAAGCCTATAGTATTTGGGCCCTAATTAGGACTCTTAAATATATAAATAGGGGAACATAGGAGGCACCTAGAACCCCCACCACAATAATCTCTCACCACACAAGGAGCTCCAAGAATTCCCCAAGGAGAAATCAAGAAAGAAGAAAGACTTAAAGAAAGATCCTTCATAGCCAAGGAAATTAATTAAGGCTAAGAGGTAACCACAAAACCTATTTTCCTAGCTATGATCTCCCTCTTAGGCATCCTCCTATATTATTGTGTCTTGATGAATTGTTATGATGTTGATGATGTGATCTTGATAATTGGTGGTATGGTTCTATCTTGGTATTCTTGATGATGATAAGGTTTTCTTGATAATTGTGTGATGTTCTTGATGAATCTTGATATTTCTTGATATTAAAAGATGGGTTACGTTCTTGATGATTTAATTGTGATTAGAGCCCTAGGATGTAACGTGAAACTCGTATGATGTTATTCTTAATGTATTGGGTGGGAATTTGGATGTTTGGGGTGTTAATTATGTTTAGAAAGC